GTGCACACCCTCTTTTGAGAACAAACTGTCACTCTCAGGCGTGTGTCGCAGCGCAAAAGCACGCACAGCATACATTCTTTCCACCTCTCTTGAATCCATCTTCAATCTCTACACTGAAATCTTTATTTTAGAGCCAATTGACATCTTGAACTCATTACAGCGGCACATTTCCCCCAGTAACTCTGCTCCAAGCTACACCACAGGTGACGCTGGGTGGCAAGTGAGTTTGGTTTGGGGGTTTTGGTTCCGGCAGGCTTCCTGGCTCCAACGGTATGCGCTGGCCTCCTAACCTAACCACTGGTTGGTCCAGCCCTCTTCGCAGCTCCGCCTCCTTAGGGAGGGCAGGCGAGAAAACTTGAAGGGGTTCTACCACTTGAAGGAGCTCAGTTCCACAAGTCAGAATTCACTCAAATGGGTTTGTTTTGTCTCAACTCTTAGAACAAATGAAAACCACTCAACAAATGACATTCTCCTATCTTAAAAATCAATTAAGAATTCATTTTGAATGTTTTGAGATCTTAACATGTCTCAGGATCCTCGTTTTAAACACTAAGAACTCGTTTAATAAACGCAACCCGGTCCTAAGACGACTTGTCATGAAATTATAGCCTAAATCTAATTCTTGCTTATTTCATGTAACTTTCACTTACTGCTCCGGGTCCTCATCCCTGAAACAGAAATATGAGTTGTGCCCTTCTCTTTTGGCTCAAAAGTTGAACAGCGGCAACACAGATCAGGGACAGCATGAGACCCCGTCACCTGCCTTCTGAGAAGGGATTCCTCTGACATCGGCTGTAGTGTTCCTCCTCCTCAAAGCAGCATTGCAACCAACAGACGACCGTTTCCGACGAGTTTGACAGTTCTAGGGCTGAACAAACCAGCACTGTTTCACTGTTTCTAAGGAGTGACCCGCCTTGCTTGTGAAATAAGTCCTATCAGCAAGAAAAGTGCTACGTGAAGTAACAACATTGAAGCCTATGACGCTTTCTACTCCTGTAAAGAGTTACAGTCTCAGAAACCCACAGGGGCAGTTCTACCGTCCTCGGGGGGGTCACTAAGAGTCAGAATCCATAGCAATGGGCTTGGATTGGGGGGGACATGCAAGTGACTTTCTTCCTTGGCTACCTCTGGAAATCAAGGACCGTTTTCCAAGAAAACGGAATTGGGGCAAAATTTTTTTTTCTTTTTTAATCTAATTATTTTATTGGAGGTTTATACAGCTCTTATCACAATCCATACATACATCCATTCTGTCAAGCACATTTGTAATTTGTTGCCATCCTCGATTTCAAAACCTTTTCTTTTCCAATTGAGCCCTTGGTATCAGCTCCTCATTTTTCCCTCCCTCCCTCATGAACCCTTGATAATTTATAAATTATTATTATTTTTTTCATGTCTTCCATTGACGGTGTCTCCCTTTACCCACTTTTCTGTTGTCCGTCCCCCTGGGAGGGGGTTATATGTAGATCATTGTGATTGGTTCTCCCTTTCTCCCCCACCTTCCCCTTCTGAAAAAACAATTTTTTTTTAAAGTGGATTCAGAGCGGTAGCCACAGACCCCGTGTCTTTAAAAGATGGGTTCTGATGTGTTTATGACCCCTAAGCCCTAACACTGCCATCGGTAGACCAGAACCTTGGAGAAAGCGCTCTTATAGACTGCAGACTGGAGCTTGTCACAACCCTCTGTCGTGGTTTCTGTTTGATTTTTAAGTATAGGAGCATGATCAGTCAGGCAAGTATCTCGATGTACAAATAACATGGTGCCCACAGAGAAGCATGGTGCCAGTCATCCTCTCGGCATGTACTGCATGCCTGGCCATGGCTGGTCGTACAGACCAACCTGCGTGCCACCCAAACAAGGGTAGCAAGTTCTGTGGTTGAAATTCCATTTGGGGATGGGTTTTGTGAAGGCCACGTGGCAGTTGTGTGGGGTGTCTTTTAAATCATTCTCTTTGGGGAGAGAAAGTCGAAGATGAAGCAGCCAAGCTGGCACAGAGGGAAAGAGGCCACGTGACCGACAAGAATCCCAGGAATAGAAGCTGGAGAGAGACGAGGATCTTCCCCTAGAGCCCAGAGCAACCCAGAGCACCTTCCCCTACACCTGGCACCCTGAGTTTGGATTTCCAGTCTCCTACTGGTGTGATGGAAGCACTGGCTGACAAGGACAATGGGGCTGGTGCGACACACCTACGAATGGCGTGGATTTTTTAGGAAGCCTTCCCTTCTGGAAGCATCTACACACAAAATGTAAGCCACGAGAGTTAGAACGGAAAAGGCTGTGGGAAAAAGAAAGCTTGGGGCAGGGAAAGGCAGATTCCTATGCCCTGAACTTGAATCTGCTATTTCCTGGTCACTGGCTTCGATGGAGAGAAAGCAAGCTGTCTGCACACAGGGCATCCAACTCTCAGCCAGGATCGTTCTCCAAAGCGTTTGCTTGACTTGACATTTTATGCCATTAATAATTACTGCAGGTCGCCAGAGCATCAAAAGCCCTTCAGACTGTGAGATATTTCTAGCCCCGATAAAATAACAGCCTCCAATTATTACTTGAAACAATCATCTTTCAAACTGAGCCCACAGAAAGTATCTCAAGTCGCCTGTTTAAATTAAAAATTCATTTGTAACATTTCAAAATGTGATCCCTCGATTTAGCATTTCAAATGAATATTAGCAAGGCATCTTCTAACTGGCAAGCAGAAAAACACACCAACAGATCTAACAGAATAGCTGATGTTAAAAATGTATTTTTAACTTGGAAGTCTAAGAACCCTGGTACCACAAGGGCACCAAGCAAAGCTTAGAGAAAGTTGGGTCAATCACAAAGGCGCCAGGCCTCACCTAAGATTTCATAGTCCTCAGTTGAAGCGCGTGCTGTCTTACGTGTGCCAAGTAATTCAATCGTGAATAGCCAAGGTGGATGAAGAGACAAACTTAAGAAAACAGGGATTTTAACAGGAAATGTTATCACTGACTAAACTGAATACACTGGGACTATTCCCAAAATACCCCATCCAAGCACATATTTTTAAAATGTGTGGGTTTTTCTCAAGACAAGGCAAAAACTTTGACACATTACAGGCTTTTGTTCTCGGCTGTGCTGGACTTGTCAGACCTCCAGCTCACCAATGAACGAACATTTTCTTCACTTAGCCTGATGTAACTTTTAAATCGCACATTGTACACAGAGCAACATTAGACAGCTACATTAGACAGTTTTGGGAAGGAGATGAACATAGTATTCAAAGTTTATCACCCTTGTTGTTGAGAAAGGAACAAGGAACAAAAGGTGCATTCTGCCTCTTCCACTCCTAACTGGTGAACACCATCCTGGTCTCAATACCGTACCAAGGAGAAAAGATGATTTTATATGGCGAAACGGAAATGTGGTCAGCATCTCCAGACTCCTCGGTCAACGTCCTCCCCCGCTCCCTCCGGATAAACTGATCCATGCTAAATCCTACGACTAGATTCAAAGACTCTACACGTTAGATTACTTTGCTCCAAGGAGAAAGGAAAATGTTGACGATTCCAAGATTCCTTCGGAAGCAGCCACCTGCAATGCGTAAGCTTTTCGTTGGCAAGATCAATCAATATCAGAAAGCGTGTAACGTTTAAAAGGTCAAGCGGCGGAAAGTAAAATAAATACATAGTCGATTCCCCAAGGTTATCTTTTCCTGGCCAGGTACCTACACAACCAGGTCGGCGCTGCAAACCCCGAGGGATCGGCGGGGTGGTCGGTGGCCCGTTTCTGGGG